CCTAAATATTAAGCCTAAGTATTTGGAACACGACTCAGCGTACCGATAAAGAAAAGCATTAGGTATTTCATCCGGCCCAGCCGATTTTTTTGTGTCAAGATGAAGTAGAGCTGACAAGATGCCTTCATCTGTTATAATCAAGTCTGGCAGTTCGAGATTGTTTGCGTGGAAATCAGGAGGGGTGTCACCCGTTCGCAAAAAAACAGAAGAGAAGTAGTCGCTAAATGCTGTCGCTATGCAGCTGGCATCAGTCACGTCCGCGTCCTTGGTTTTAATTTTTGTCACTCACTTTTTTGTCGGAGAGGTGCATCCAAAATTTTCTTGGATTGGTTGTGAGAAAGTTGTGCATTTTTACGTTGAAGAAATGAAATTTGGAGCTTTTAATCTTATTGCGCAGTTCGGTGCGGAAGCTCGTCAGAGCAGCACTACGGGGTTGTGTTTTTGAGCGTGACAGGCGTTTTATCTTGCGTTTTAGATGGAGTATTTCGCGCGTAATCCAAGGACTACGGCCGTGTATTTTTTTCACTTTCTCCGGAACGAACGAACTTATACATTTGTGAACGGTTGTCTTAAAGTTCGACCATAGCTGGTTAACGTCACAGCGATTATGAAGATGTTTGTTAGAAATTTTGTCATACTCCTCCTCTAGGAGGTCCAAAATACTTTTGTCCGAAGCAGTATTAAAATTGAGGAATCTACATACTTGGGTAGCCGAGGGAATACACATGTTGGTTTTAAATATTAATAGTTCGTGGTCCGATATACCTGGTACAACTTCAATTGTGTTGTTAAACTTGCAAATAGACTCAGAAACAAAAATAAGGTCCAGAATCGAACTCGTGCCTGCGTAGGAGTCTTTACAAGTTGCGTCATGCTACAGGAAAACGCTATATCAAGTAGCAATTCGGAGTGCTGGCAGGGTGTTGTAACGCAAAAGCTATCCCAGTTTATTTTTGGCAGATTTAAATCACCTCCTACAAGAATGTGGGTATAGCGTTTGCTTTGTTCGAGCAAAAAATCTTGCAAAGCTTCGAGTACTGCTATATCGGAATTGGGCGGCCTGTAGACAGCGCCAATGAGCATGCTCAAATTTTTATGCCGAAGAACTATCCAAGTCATTTCGACGCACGTCCCGTGCGACAAAACCTTAAAATCCATGCCCTTTTTCAGCACTATCGCTACACCGCCCCCCTTTGCTTCTCGGTCGTGACGAACGATTACATGAGAGCTGGGAATTACTGCCGAGTCGGGAATCTCATTTGGAAGCCATGTTTCAGTAAGGATTGTGACGTCGGGATCATAAGCAATGAGGACGCTTTCTAGATCGACCGATTTGTTGACGACACTTCGAGCATTTATGTTTATTACAGAAAATGTTGACGGGACCGTGTGAGAAAGTGGAGCCGGTAGCGTTCGTTGATGCTCCAGATTGCTGCTATGTTGCTGTCACTGCACAGCTGCCGGAACCCTTGAGTTCAGTGAGTCATCCCACCGATAAAGCTTGCCGTTAACTTTGATCTTGTCAAAGATCAAAGCAACTTTTGCTCCATTACTCCGTTCTTCTCGTGCGCTCGCCCATAGCTTTTTTCGTATTTGTTGAGCTCGAGGTGAAAAATCCTCCGAAATGCTGAACTCTGTGCCTTTTAGATTACCGCAGTTCTTTAGAATCCTAGTTTTGTCTCTTCCGTCAACTAGCTTCAGAATGACTGGCCGGCACTTGTTTGCCACTGGCTTGCCAATCCTGTGAATGCGCTCGATGGCGACATTTGGCACCTGAATTATGTCTTCCAAGATGCCCTTTGCCACTTGTTCACCAAGAGGCTGATCAGCATCGTTCTCTTCTGTCACGCCAAAAATAAGCAAGTTATTTCGTCGACTGCGGTTTTCAAGGTCGTCGATTTTTTTTGTCAGCCCGTCTACTTGTTTTTGTAGGTCATCTACCTTGGTTGTGTTGGAAGCGACAGTTTGAGAAAGGTCGTCCAGTTTTTTTTCGATACTGGTCAGCGTATCAACCGTTTTACTTAATTGTTGGTTGACTGCGCTCGAACTGTCTTTCAGCTCGCGAATATCATTGATAATCGTTTTCAGCATTGCTTCTGTTGTGGGGCCCGGATTAGGCTCAACATCACCACACGACGACAATAAGTCAACCAGGCATTCACAAACGGCACAGTACGCAAGAAGCAATGACCGTGGGCACGGCAGAAGCACAAGGCAAACATTGTCGTCTCGATAACATGAAAGATTGCGATCGTCTCTCACCTGTATGAAAAACAAGAACGGATTCCTGAGCAACATATTCGCAGAGCTTCCGCCGTGCCCACTGGTGAAGATGGCCCGGTCCAAGCGATTTATACTCTCTTCCATCGCTGACGTAATCGACGTCGTGCTGAGCTGCGCAGCTGGTTGGGGTAGCCAAGAGCGCATGCCCAGGAGTTCGTCGCTGAAGCAGCATTTTGAAGAATCCATGTTCCAGCTGCCACGGTGCCAATCTTCATTGTTGTCCGGGAGAGCGCTGCACTCCGCCTGCCCGTGACTGGTGAATGAAGCGAAGACCACGGCCTGTATGAAAAACAGGAACGGATTCCTGAGCAACATATTCGCAGAGCTCCTGCCGTGCCCACTCGGATGCGGACCGCATGGCTCTCGTCCCAATTCAACAACGGTTTCGAAAACTAACACCAACAAAAATGAACACTTGCGAGCAAAAAAATAAATAGAAAGTCAACCTGCCGACAAATTCAAACACGTTAGAAAACCAATCTCCTCGCTTCTCAACAAAGCACACCACCGACGCTAGCAAAGAAGTCACGCCTAGGCCTACTCTACAGCGGCTCTAACAAAAGCCTGTACCAAACCGCAAAAACAGTCGTCCGATACTCCAAGAGCTCAACGTTGGGCAGCCAGTGTGGAGACCCCGTCACTAACTGCAGCGAATGATCACCGCGGGTTCACGCTTAGCGAGCCACAGGGCCGCGACTTCACCACCTACTCGCTTGTAGCGCACTGCTCCGCGCGCGTTCAACTAATAAGGCGTTTAGCACGGCGCAGCAAAACAGACAGTGTTCAAATACAAAATAGACAACACTTTATTGCCTTTGGCGGCACCCCGAACAGCAGTACAACGTCCGCTCCCGGGACGCGGGGAGCAAAAACACCCGCACGCAAACGTTCACAATAAGGGGCAACCGCGAGCACGTCGCAGCTGGCAATGGCGAGCTTTGACACGCCGGTCGGGAAAAAATCCCTTGCGGCTATGCTGCGCACTCTCACGATGGCCACTGGGCCTGGTCGCGAGTGTTAGGGCAAACCCGTACACGTAGGCCTACGGCAAGTGCGGCTCGGTGTGGTACGACCACTTCAAGCACTAGGCACCGTTGTGGGTTTAGCGTACGGTACCGAAGGTAGCACTCAAGTAAACACGCCTGCCGAAGTGCCACAGGCCACCCCAGGCAGGCTACAGTCCGGCGATTCCCAAAGGGGACGCGGACGAAGGAAAACACGTGCTTACCCGGCGCTGACCACGGAAAAAAAAGCACTCCTTCGGCGCGCGCGTACCGCGTGCCGCGTCCACACGTGGCGCCATCTATCGCCACACGCCGTTATCAGAGCAGAAAAAGCAAAAGGGTGTGGCCGTGCGGCAGAATGCCCGCGAAATGGTCGCAGGCGTGCCTCAGATTCCCACAAACTCCAAACAATGTAGCGTTTAATCGCGCTGCGCTGACAGTGTAACGCGATGCTCAAAAAGGTGTTTTCAACGCTCCACGATGACACGGTGGTGGCACCTACCTGTCGCTTTGCATTCTACACCTTATCACTTCCGAGGCTGACGCGCATGTTTCTCTGCGGTCGCGGATGCCTTTGTTTTTGAAGATAACTGCCAGATGGCACTCGTGTCTATTGTGCCTAGATGCGCTTGTTCGCCTCAGCTACACGCTCGAGTTTAAGAGGCGTTCATTTAAACGTACAGTATAATCTCAGTGATACGAAGCCGCGGCAGATACGTATTCTTGAAATTCCCCAGCCAAATTTCACTATGTCCATTGGGCCTCAATTTGAATGTTCCGAACACATTTACTAATAGCAGCGGGTGATACGCGGTTTAGTACTGAAACTGTAGAACTAAGTCAGAAAATAGCGTGCTTGAAGCTTCAGAAGTATGTGTGCGACCGGCGCATGCACAGTCTTCTACAGTGCGTGTGATATTCGTTGAGAGAACCGCTGTGGGCGAAACCGCGGTCGCTCTTGACATGATCATGTACGGCGACAACGTAACTGACAGAACCCTGAAAGTGTGCGCTCAACCACTCAAAGCAACGCTGCTTTCCGCTAACTCTGTTGACATAACTGCGGCAGATGCTATCGTACATGGCATAAAACGATTTAGTTTTGAAGGTGCATATGGACACATTTCAGGGGCAGTCCCGTTGAGTCAACCAGAATATTTACAGTTTGCAGCGTAAGACTAAATCAATCTTCTGTGCCCTACGGCTCCATCTACGCTTGTAAACTTCCCACCTGTCTTTTGTGACTGCGGTATACTGTAAATAAATAATTGGCAACTTTTTTTGCCGTGGTCCTGGGTTCGATCTTGGTACCAGGATGGATTTTGTGTGAACTAAGTAGCTTTCTTTCCATATGGCTTTATGCCACAAATGGTTGATTGTCAATTTTTTTTCTTCATAACCAATCAATGACCTTTAGAGATTTGATAGAAATAGTTTTTAATGAGGTTCATTTTTTCTGCAGTTGAAAATAAACAGGCTGCTTTTTTCTTAAGTGTGGTAGAAAAATGGGCCTTTTTTCTGTGGAGAATGACTGCATAAGGGGCACCACCGAAATGAATGTTACTATGCAGTTGCATGTGACATCGTGCGCAGTGATTCAGGAAGCCCGCAAATAAATGAGGGTTTGAAATTCGTAGTGTGCTATGTCATGGAAAGGCATTTATGAAAATAGGAATTTTGCATAGAAAAGTTGATGACAATTTTTTTCAACAGCATTTGCAGCAACAAGAGTGCAAGAACCTCTATAGTCGGAAAGATGGACAGAGGCCTGAGAACCGGGCCAAGAACCGCTACAAGAACATACTGCCATGTAAGCGCAGACATGCTTTTGCTCAAGGACTGGTATTGCATCTGTTCTTTTCCTTTTTTAATGCAGTTGACGCGACACGAGTGCACCTGCAAGATGTGGATCCTGATGCCCCATGTTCAGACTATATCAATGCAAACTACATCAAGGTTGGTACCTGCAGAAAGCTCTACTGCATGAAAGGTTTGCCAAGCAAGGGGTTGCTTGCATACCCTGGGTGAAATTTGGGTCGTACTGAAAAAAAAAATATACTTGACGTTAGTCACTACTGCGTTAATAGAACAGCTTGCACGGAAATAGATCAATAGGCACTGAGAAGGCTTGTCGTCATCAAGGCAACTCTGTACAGGTAGGTGTATGCTTTGTTCACTTTCCTCCTAAGTGGAGAGGGTAGAATGCAAGGGTGAGAGGAGGAAAGCCAGGATTGAAATACTGAGCCAACTCGCGCAAGTAAAACAGAACAAAGGAAGCAGAAGAGACACATTATTAAAGTAGAATCTGGGCTGTATTTAGCATGTCAAATGTCACAGTAATCAGAGGAGTTCACAATTCTTAGATACAAATTTTAAATCTCTGTGGTTTTCGTAAGTACCTACTATATAGGATTGCTTCAAGAGCTCCCTTGGAAACTAACATACCTATTGGCTGTAGCTATATATATTATATATACACTAGATAGAACACTGGTGCTAGTGTCTACGGGAACTGCAACGCACGGCACTTGGCAAGCATGGGAATGACGTGTAGTACACGGGTTTGTCTAATCTTCGTTATTTTGGCTTCGTGTGGGTTGGAGCTGTTTTGTTACGAAACAACAATCAGCAGAGGTTCTGCAGTTGCTCTTCGCCACCTTAATCTTTTAGGCTGACCAATTCAAATCGGGTCACCAAGTTCAAAACGGTCTGTTTTTTTTATTTTAAACAAAACCAAAACACAGCATTAAGCAAAGCCACAAGCGCGAAGACTAGGCTAATTGGTATACTAGCCGTCATTGCTGTGGTCACTGAACGATTGCAGCACCAGAGTTCCTTCTATTTAATTAAACTTGTGAATAAAGTATGACTGTCCTTTGTTTTTTGGGGGACAGCTTGAGGTCATTGAAGTTGTGACGGTCCACGTTATGGCCAGTCAATTCTAACATTAACCGTCAAGAATCTGTCCTTTGTCAATGTACTGTTTTTGACAAAGGCAACATGTGAGCATGTAGATTAGTGCTAGGAAAACTATATTTCATTTGTAGAATGTCATTACCTTTAATGCTTCCAACTGTAACATCATTTTGAAGGTGTTTGCATGACTTGCATTTGATACCAAAACATGCTGCTATGTGAGCATCAGTATGAGAGTTTGCTTATGCACACACTAACATGAAGTTTCTGTGACTGGTAAACAACCCTAGTTAGTTTAGGAAAAGCTTTTTTTAAGACGCTCATTGATTGCTCATACAGTTGAGCCCACTTACAATGATCCGGAGTGTTACGAAACATCCATTTTCTGTGTTTCAAAGTTCGTAGTAAATAAAGCACAACTTAAAAAAAAATGTTGTAGGCCCGTGTACTCAGATTTGGGTGCACGTTAAAGAACCCCAGGTGGTCAAAATTTTCGGAGCCTTCCACTACGGCGTCTTTCATAATCATATGGTGGTTTTGGGACGTTAAACCCCACATATCAATCAATCAATCAACAACTTTAAAAAAGTTCCAAGTGCAAACACAAAAATACTTTTCAGAAAAAGTTTTTAATGCACACGTTTTGAAGAGCAGAAAGAATAAGGGTGGTCCCGAGCTTATTTAAAGTGCCAGCATGCTGTTCGCCGAGGCCCTTTGCATATACAGGCTTCCTGAAACTAATAATGTAGCCAATTGCTACAGGCACGCTTGTTTCGTCGTCCTTACCATCTGATTCCTCTAAATCGCTCTTGCCACACACTGCATTCACAATCTCCTCATTCATGCTTAGTTCTGCAGTGTCAGTATCATCATTGGCCGTAATGAAATCATTCCAGCAGGTATCCCGCCTTCCCATGTCGCAGTCGATGACGCACTGCCACAAATTGCCACTGGATTGGTCCTGTTCATAAGCTTTAGGCTCGACATTGAGTCTGACGTTGATGAAGTTGGCCTCGCGAAAACAGTTTCACACACATGTAGCTGTTACATCCACCGACGAAGCCTTCACCATCTCCACAGCTGAATACAGGGACATATATCTAAAGCGGCAAGTTGGCTGCTGGGCGATCAACAGCTATAAGCAAGCGCTCCACAACGCCACGCTTAAGCCATGTGGTTTGTGGGGTCTCTTGAGGAGAATGCTGCTCTCGGAAAACACGGAGATAGTAGACGTGGTCGAACCTAACCAAACAAAGCATTTATTGAGCTTTTTTTACATCAATGATATCGTCAGCTGAATCAAATTCATCACTATTGACACGCTAAAACACAACCTTATACAATATTCCCGATATGACACTCAGCCAACATAACAAACAACGTAACGCGAAAGTGGTGGCCCGATGCTAGACTCACCACGAGGGCCCCACGGAAAACGACCCACGATGTCGGAAATGTGCATCCCAATCGGCGCCATTCAGCCTCGCCAACAGGCATCACTGCTGGCACTACCGCGCCAATCAATCGTAATGATGACGAAGGTGATTGCATGCAAGAACGCCACCTCTTGCTTGGCGGTTAAACCTAAATGGGGCCCATCCATGATACACGTGCGCGTCATGAGGCGCAAGCGACTTTACAAAGGGTGATTGCACCTCCATAGGTTGCACTTTCGTATTTGTTTTAAGCGGCAGGAAAAGGCTTGGAAGGCTTCCCATCCGCCATTCTGACTACACATGTGCAACATACAAGCCGAGACGCATAGAACTGCTCTGGGCCGGTTTATAGCTACAAAAAGAGACTTCATAATTCAGCGTGGCTAACACAGCAGCGTGGCTAACACATTGCGGAGCAGTGGAGACAGGTGTAGGAGTTGCGATGAAGGGGAGAGAGGGTAGCGTACGGCATGAAGGTGACCAAAACCAAGACACACAGGAAAAACGCAGGTCGGGTCACTTGCCTGAAAGGTCCACAAAACTTTCAACTCGTGCGTATAATAACTTGGGAAAGTGGCCTGTGTGCGCAGAGGTCGATGAATCGCATTGTGGCACTGGCAGGCTTGCACTACCCCACCGGCTTGGATTATTTAAGAATTGTTCCGCTTAACAGCCGTTTCTATGCCTCCGTGAGCGAGGACAGGTCTTTAACATGGAACTAATTACGAATGATCAAAGTTGGTGAGATAGCGGAAGCGCGTGCATTGGAACGATATGACACCAATCCAGAAAACACACAGACGATTGGGTATAGGCGGCAGCCGGCGGGGTTGGCAGATGGCTTGGTCTCTATAGAATGGTGACCCGAATGAAAGTGTAACAAGACTAGCAATCAAAAACTGGGGGAGACTAGGCAGCGAACAGGTCTTCCTAAGATCGGTGGTATTGTGAGAACACTGACCTTGTCTGGCAATGTCGGGTGTTCAGAGTAGCGGGGAGACAAAGGATGGAGGGGTACATAACGAAAATAAAAGTCACAGCTTTGCTGCAAAGGCAAAGCAGTGAACGCGATAGCAACAAATTGGAAGGTCACGCACAGAATGGCAAGCAGATCGAAACGTGCCCCGCATTTTTCACGCACAAGTGACGCACGAAACGTACTCACAGGTACACATGAACGCGAATAAGCATTTCAGTTGTTGCTTCGCTGTGTCTGAAAAGCGTGCCCTTTTAACACAAACGGAGACTGTGCAATGATTGCAGTGACTTTGTGCGCCTGGTAACTACAACAGAATCATTCCGGTGAAACCCCAAAGCCAGCCAAGATGTACGATCCTCCCCACCGCAAGATAAAGGCGCGCAAGCGAGTGTCCTGCCGCCTCCTCTTCACGGGGCAATGTACGCACCTCGCTGTGTCGTGACGATGTGGCGAGGTGCGCTCAATGCGTCATCTTGCTGGTGTAGCTGAAAACACGATGGTTCCCCCCCCCCCCCCCCCCCCTCGAAATACCCGTCAACAGCGGTAAGTGGTATAGTGGTACATATAAATTGCTTGCTGTTTGAACTTTGGAGAATGTGCCTCCTCTCCGTGGCTCAGTGGTCAATGCCTGGCACTCACGTTTCAGACGTACGAAGTTCGATTCCGCACGCCTGAGTCTTTGTTCTGGATTATTTTTTGGGGGGGTTTTCATATATATATACATATACGGTGAGTGACAGCGATGTCGGCGTTGTCGATAGAGGCAAAATTCAGCCGTGAGTGTCCATATAATTGCTGTCCAAGTAAAACAGTCGAGGAGAGCAACATCTAGAGGGCTGCGAAGGCAGGGTTGACATTTAAAAATTATATTAAAATATATAGGTGCCTTACCAATGGTTCAACAATCGTCGAAAGTGGTTTTCAGCGGAGCGCCGACTCCGTTCGTTGTAATCAATAGGCGCCGCTCAGAGATGTTCGTTGTGTGATTTCGTGTAATTGAGATGATGTGTATTTCCACAGTCATGCGGGTATCATTTATTTTAAGTGGGGCTATTGTATGTGGGCTTGACTGTACTTGATAATGCTACATATAGAGGATATTGATGATATTTATGATCGAGCTTGATTATTTCATTGCTAATGCACTTATGAAGGGTTACATAGTCCTTTAGGCTCTCCTTTAGCTAGATCCGATTCTAAGCCTTATTTTCTTTTTAACCACATTGTTTTAGGCCTTGTTCGGCACATTGTGCAGGTGATTTTTTTCAACTAATGTTGACTTTAGATAACGACAGGAACAGACGGCACTAGACACAGAACGGTGAAAGACTGACAGATGAAAGCGATTCTAGTCACTGTCGTTGACTCTTTAATGCCATGATTTACCTACTTCTATCATACGTGTGGGACAGGAACAGACGGCGCTAGACACAGAACGGTAAAAGACTGACAGATGAAAGCAATTCTAGTCACTGTCATTGACTCGTTAATGCCATGATTTACGTACTTCTGTCACACGTGTGGGAGGCAGCTTCGCAAATCCATAGGCCTAATGAGTCCCTTTGTAACAACTGGCGCCTAACCAGCACTTATATTAACTGCAGAAGATACAGCAGCAAGGAGGCATCAGCTTTCTGACGAGGCCTTACATTGTGTGGAACAGCTTATCTAACAGTTGGCGCAGACCATGTCTGACAGTGTAGAAATTGCCGTGCCAAACCACACTACCACACGGCTTAATGCACGGCCGTCCTGCTCCCAAAGTCCAAGAGATCAAAGAAGCTCGTTACAGAAAACTCGAACCACCTGCAAAGCATCTGCATGTAATTCGCTTCCCCATCTAGTGGCCCCCTGTAACCTCACTACCTCCAGGTGGTGCCCCCTCAGAAGCACGGTGTAAACTCTTGCTAGGTAGCATTTTAACTATGACGTGCAGGCACCATGAGGCAAAAATGGCATTACAGGGGGTGGTAGCACCTCCACGAGAGTCTTCTCTTATTCACTACTTTAGTAAACTCCAGCCAATTATTATAATCATTTCAAAGGGAGCATTTGAAATAATTGGTTGTCGTTCATTAACGCTTCACGCTGCTGCTCAATTTTGACGCACAACGTAATGCACCCCTGATGCGCAAAGACCTTGCCTCTTCTTTGTGGTTGGGTTGAAGAAAAAGATCTCTTGTTGAAGCCAATAACTACCTGTGTCTACAAGGCTTGTCAGGACTCACACCTGACTTGAATTGCCTGCCATTGCTGCTATGGCGTCATATGCATGCTTTTGGGAGGATGATGCAAAAGTAAAACTTCGTTGCTCTTCTCGCAGGTAGACGACGATACAATTTTTGATGGCCATAGCAAAGTGTACATAGCAACACAAGGCTGCCTGCAGAACACTATAAGTGACTTCTGGTCCATGGTCTGGCAAGGAAATACAAGGGTGATTGTAATGACTACCAAGGAAGTTGAAAGGGGAAAGGTGAGTTTTTTTTTATTACCAAAAAAGAAGGTGTCTTCTGACAAATGGTTCGCAAGAAAAGAACTGCAACTGTATGCTCAAACAGCTTGTCACATTTCATGTCACCTTATCAAATTACAGATCTTGTTTGGGATATTACGCAAAGAACAGTTTTGCATATGTTATGTGGTAGTTTTTCACAATCTTATTATGCATAAATAGTTTAAGTTCTTCCGTGCTCGCAGATTAGGTGGTGATTAGGGAAAGCTGTTGCAATATTTAGCTGTGTGGTGACAAGAAGGCAACAGAATGTGCAAGCAATGTTCAGTAGTTGTATGATTTGGTATAATCTATGGGGCATCTCGAAAGAAAGTGTTGTAGGACTTGTGAAACAATCCTAAGCTCGCGATACAATGACGTTGTGCTGGCATGGCCAGCCAAAACTTTTGCTGTAATGATAAAAACACTGGTGCCTTATGAGTATAATGGACGAAAACTTCTTGCAGCGTAATTTTCTACTGATTGTAACACATTGCTGAAGTATACCTGGTGAGCATTCGACATGTAGGCTTCATATTCCTGTTTTGGCCTCGCCACTGTTTTATACACTAAGAGTGTTCTAGAGGTTACGTTTCAGCAATCCCATGGTTTCATAGGCAGATTGTGTGAGTTAGCCACATGCAAGCACCAGTTGTGGTCATGTGCGATTGTAATGGGGTGTTATTAATTGTAAAATAAAAATGATAGCAGTTATTTAAGACATCAATCGCAACGCGCGCCCATTTTTCCCGTTGGCCCGCACGATCACACTATTAGAAAGAACGACTCCTTTCCGGAGGGTCTTCCATTTAAATATGACGTACGGGGGAAGCTTGTGCCCGTCTGACGTGTAACAGAGCATGGCCATCACTGTAGTTTTACCGTGGACCGATGTCAGCGCGCGAACTTGCTTCGCCCCCTTTTTCTCGACGGTTGTGGTGCCAGGCATGTCGAAGTAAAGAGGCGTCTGATCGGCATTCCCAATTTGCCCAAGCAGGTAGCCGTTGTTGTGCCGCAAGTTTAGGACGAACCTCTGAAAACTGTGAAGCTTTTCATCGTACTCCTCCGGAAACTTTTCACATATGCCCGTTCGCCTTCGGAGGGAAAAGCCTTTCCTCTTCATAAAGTTAGTTAGCCAGCACCTGCTAGCTTTAAACTGGCTCTGCATTAGAACTTTTTCTAAGGATAACTGCATAGCCCACACTTGGAGCAGGAGCAGTTCTGTCGTCACGGGCCGCTGTGCCGCTCGCTGCTCAAGCACATACTCGCCGAGCAGCTCTTCAATTTGCGGAAACCGACCCTGCTGTGGTCCACTGAAGCCTTTGCGTGAAGCTTTGCTGTCGACAATATTCTGCTTTTGTTTCCGCAAGTCCCGCACGCACGTTTTGGGAACTCCGAACGACCGCGATGCGGCCCGATTTCCGTCCGTTTTTGCACACGCGACTTTTCTTTTAAAAGCAGCATCGTGGTGCACTCGAGTTTTTGGAGTTGGCCCTTTTATGCCGTCGATGCTAATGCACTACAAGATGACGAACTCCTCAGCACACGTACGAAGTGCCGCACATAGGAAACACATAGACAGAAATGGCATACGCGCCATGCCGACGCACGTAGGGGGTGGCCATTTTGGAAATGCCGATGGCAATAGAATGACCGTATTCATTTTTTTTTTCATACTCGATTGTAACACGCATGCGATTTATGAACTCGCTTAACCGGAAAAAAAGTGCACGTTAGATTCGAGTAATTACGATACCAAAGGAAGGCTGATATGCATCAGGTGGCATTCCATTCCAGGGAATGAAATTTTTCTTGCGCAGACTTGCATGTATCCTATTTTCACATGTATCCTGTATCCGCATGTATCGCTCCACATCTGCACATGCCTTTAATTTTTTCCCCAGTGCAATGTGTCTCTTCAGCTGTCTTGACTTCTTCCTTGGTGTTTACATGCCTATCGTCTTTGAAGGCCGGTACACAAATGTCCAAAATATATCCTCTTTTGCGGCCATGTGTATAAATGTACATATACACTTTGGAGGCGCTTTGCCTGTTTCTTCAAATAATTCAAAATGCAGTCTGCACATTCGTGCAGGCTTTCTTAGCTAGTCTTCATTGTGCTGTGTATTGCTGCAGAGGATCATTATGCTGGAGGCATTACCACGATTGCTTGATGTACAGTGTTCCAGGACCAATGTACTATTCTTCTTTGCTCGAAGTGAATAAAACCAAAACAAATTGTGCATGCATTTGGGCCTAATACTTGATTCTTTTTATGCAGGAATAGAAGCTGTCATATTGCAATATAATTACTGCAAAAAAAAAAAGACCCCCCACCTCGACTGCTAACTACTGAAAATTGAAAGAAAATAAAGAGTATGTGGAAAAGCCAAAGCAGCTGAAGGCACCTCTAGTGACAAAAACAGAATTTAAAATTCTACATAGTGAGAATGCCATTTTTTTACGTGTGTTTAAATGTATGTTCTGCATAGCAGAAAACTAAAAGGTGACAAAAGGTTCACAGCTGACTTCAGATCGCACCGGTAGCAATCGGGAGCTACCGGAGCTCACCGGTAGCAATCATGACGTAAACACGGCTTTGCAATCTCTAGCTCTAGAAGGTCTAGCACGAAAACAGTTTTCTTCCACTATATGATCCTTCTGCATCTGTCAGCAGTGCTGTGGTGAACAGAGAAGGGGAAGGCCCAAAACTCTTTTCGTAGATAACACAATAGATCTGTATGCATGTCTAAGAGGATGAAATGGGCACTACGATTTTGGATGGATTCCATGGTATTAAACTGCTTGCTTACTCAAGCTTGGGCAAAAGTGTTTTATATAAAATGAGCTTCAGAGTGAAATGTAGCCTTGGAAAGTGTCCTTGTAGATAGCCAAGAGTGTGATTGTCATTGCTATTCACATGGGCGACCTCAGGTAAGCTGACACATGCATCTGTATGTATACCCATCACGCACTATTTAAATAAGAGTTGTTTTACACACCAGGTTGGAGCTCTCCACTGCAGTGAGATTCAACAAATGAAAAGTAATCTCTGCTGCAGAGTGTGGTTCTTTTTATGTCAGGGTGTTTTGAGGATGCATATGCAGCGTAGGGTCAACGGGTTCAAGAGTCTGTTTTCATGTTTTTTGCAGCCCAAATGTGTGCGGTACTGGCCAGATGAAGGCCAGACGAAAGAGTATGGAAAATACTGCTTGCAGCACATTGCTGAGTCATCCAATGCAGACTACACTTTGAGAGAGTTTGCCATGTCAAGAAATGGTGAGGTGAGTTGTTTGTGATGCCTAATTTGACAGGACTGTGGCACTTTTCTTCTGAGATCCTTTATTTGTGCTGCCTGTGAACAAGACGACCACTGGGGAAGCCAGCGTTGCTGTGGCTGTAACTTTGTTAATGATACCACGTGACTCGCCTACGCCGTCGTCAGTGCAGTGCGCTTGCTTTCAACCCCCAGCCAGTTGATTTTCTAGCTTACAGGTTTGTTTTCCGCTTGACACCGCAGTGCTGGATGCACTGAGTGAGCTTAATGTGCATGAGCCCTTCCAGAACTTGAAATCGCGACATATACTTGACGGATAAAACTGAAATTAAAGAAACAACTCGCCGTTTATCCTCGGGTGTGCAGTTCACTCAGTTTGAGCTTTCACACATCCGCAAAGTTGTTGTGTCCGTAATTTTACGTAGGATGTTCGGTAAGTACGATTGTGTGGTTCAGGGATCTTTATTTGCACCAGACTGGAAAGAATGATTCCCAAAGCGTGGGACCACAGCACTCGGCCCTTAACAAACAGAACCATACAGTTGTATGGTTGAAAGAACGCAAGATATGGCTTCTACTTCTAGCCCTGGTGCGAGTTTACTTTCATACCCCAAAACCAAAAAGCTTCGGGATTCATGTTCGATAAAGCCGAGAATGGGAAAGCAACCCACCATTGATTATCATGTGTGCGGCAGTACTTTTGCAAAGATGGTTTTGTCTACGATGAAATCTTCAGTGAGTATGACGAGGAGCTAATAGTAGTAATTTCGGTGGTTTCACATCCCAAAATAATGACATCATTATGGGAGACGCCACAGTAAGGCTCTGGAAATTTTAACCATTTGTTGTTTTTTAGTGTGTACTGAGATCACACAGTACATGGGCATCTACCATTTCGCCTCCATCAAAATGCAACCGCCTGGGCTGAGATCAAACCTGTGACCTTTTGGTCCGCAGCTGAGCACTTTAACCACTGCTCCACCATGACGGACACAACATAGGAATTCGTTACGTTTATTCCCACCTGGCCGGTGGGCCTTTTCCAGCTGTCTGCAGCACAAGGTGGTGAGAATGATTTTATCTCATTGCTCTTTGCTTGCGTTGCATATTCGGACATCTCTCCATCTGTTAGCAGCCGTGAGCTGCTGGTACACGTATTGGCTTATGCCAGAAACCAGCATAGTCACTGCAAACATTGTAATTAATAGTCGATGGGTGCAGATGTTGCAACGTTCTGACATCACATAATCAATACCCCCTGCTCAGAGAAGTAGGTGTAGTGAAAGCAAGGATCAAGGAGACAAAAATATGCAGGTCAAGTTCCACCTATTAAAATATATTTATGAACAATTTTCCGGTAATAATTGTTGTAAAAGTAGCAGGCCGCATGAACAGTAATGTTATAAGAGCTCATGGATACCCTTATGAAATGTCAAAGCGTCGTTGGCCTTCGTCCACTTGATGCTGCTCTGAAAACTAGGGCAAGGTGTTGCTGTGAATCGTGCGTGGCGGTATGCGCAGATCAAAATGTTACCACTTGGGGGCACACTTTCCACGCAAAAGACAAGTGCGCGTCATCGCGCTTGCCTCGGTAAACTTAAATGTACATGAAGTGTGGGAGGGCTGCTATTTAAAGAATGCTGTATGAATTTCATAACAATGCAACTTTTACCAGAATGCCTCCTCATGTTGGGCATCCATGGCGCCATGCGCAGGCTTTCATCGGAAGTGCATGACGTAGCAATGATCGCGCGTTGGCTCGCTAAAAATCTTTTTTGGCAAACACTCTTAAGTTGTTTTGCAGCTAATGCAAACATAACCAATGCTTGCAAAGTGAGAAAAGCTGTGGTTGAATCACTGGAGTTGTAGAACACTTTGCACAGTCGGTACCACGTGATGTCATTTTGTATGTCACAGAAAGATTCCCGCAGATGGCACCACGATGTGTCTTCGCCGTCTATACTGCACAAGTGACCATAGGCGTATCAGTCGGGGGGGGGGGGGGGGGGGGGGGGGCAAGGGGAATACGGGCCTTCCCTTTGAGAAAAGTTGGGGGGGGGGGGCTGAGCCCCCCCACTTTCGACAGTGGTCACTCTTGCACTCTTGACTGCATGCTGGGGAAATCAACAAGTAAGGCGAATTTTTCATCACAACAGTAATCACTCAATTATGTTCTTACAGGAGAATGAAAGTGTTATGAGGCTATGTTACAACATAGTGAAATTTTGCCAACATTTCTGCTGTGATGATTTTCCTTGTAGACTTTTTTCGGTGCGGGTCGCCTATGCGACGCTTTCCCGTCTTGTGCTGTATTATTGCAGAATAGGCAAGTCCTGAACAGGGGCCCTATAATATTGCCACGACGTCAAAACAGAGGTCTTGCTGCAGAGATTGAGACACCAGAAGCAGGTCAATCTTATTAATTAGAATGCGCAAGCGAGTTCTTCTTTTTCGTCCATTTCATAGTCCTTCGTGGCACATGCACAACTGCCATCGTCTTTCTTGAGCAAGCACGTGACATTTGCCTCCCTCCGAAAGAAGCATCGTCCCGATGCGCAACTTAGTAGCTCTACCAGGCGTATGAAGTGGTCGTACGAAAACGGTAACCGGGAGCTAATTAACTCGATAAATACGGTGTCATACGCACGACGTGCACGACTTCGGGTAAATGCTTTTGGCGCTTAGAATTACAATCAGTGTCTGGAACAACTTCGTAGTTCACGTAGTTCAAGCATCGTGTGACGCTCTATGGACCAAAGTACCGTCTTAGCAGTTTCTCAGACAGTCCACGTCGACGTATCGGAATCCAGACCCACACTTTGTCGCCTGGTGTGTAGCTATTAAACTTGTGTTGGGTGTCGTAGCGTTGTGCATCTTGATGCTACTGATGACAGATCCGCATGCGCGCGAGCTGTCTGGCTTCTTCGGCGCGCTGAGTGAACTCTTCGGCGTCTACATGGATGTCGTCACACTCATGCGGCAACATGGCGTCCAATGTTGTCATGACTTCGCGAGCATAGATAAGACTGAACGGTGTCATTTCAGTGGTTTCTTGTTGAGCGGTGTTATAAGCAAAGGTCACGTATGGCAATATTTGATCCCAGTTTTTATGTTCCATGTCAACGTACATGCTGATCATGTCTGTGAAGGTCCTATTGAGGCGCTTCATCAGTCCGTTTGTCTGCGGATGGTTGTATGCGGATGGTATGCAGTTGTTTTCCGGTGAGCTGTACCACTGAGTCTGAGAACCGACTCCAAAAGCTCTGTGGTAAAGGCAGGTCCTCTGTCTGTGATCTCTGCTGTCGGAGCGCCATGCCAAAGGACGATGTTTTCGATGAAGAACTGAGCGGCTTCTGCTGCTGCGCCGCGCTGCATAGCTTTAGTCTCCGCATAACGGGACAGGTAATCAGTGACCACAATAATCCATCTGTTCCCTGTTGTGGAAGTTGGAAAGGGACCCAGGAAATTCATTCCAATGTGGGCGAACAACTTTTCTGGTGCTTCGACTGTATGTAAAAGACTGGCTGGCTTGCTGGGAGGTGCTTTGCGTCTTTGGCAGTCGGTGCAAGTTCGCACGTGATGGTTAACAGCAGCAGGTAACTTTGGCCAGTAGTACTTGCATCGTAGTTGGCGCAATGTTCAGGGGTAGCCTAGATGACCAGAGGTTGCTTCATCATGGCAAGCCTCCATAATTTCTTTTCGAAGAGAGGCAGGCCTGATGAGCAAGTGCGGGTTACTGGTTGGTGAAAAGTTTTTCTTATAGAGAACATTGTTTAGCAAGCAAAAAGATGGCAGTCCTCTAGTAAATAACCGCGGCACGTCTTTATGTCGTCCTTCTAAATATTCAATGAGAGGAAACAGCTCAGGGTCACTGCGCTGCTCTTGTGCAATAGTGGCCGTGTTGACAACTCCCAAGAATGCCGCGGTGATGTTTTCGTCATCAGGAGTAACAGTCTCCACTGGCGACCATGAGAGACAGTCGGCGTCGGTGTGCCTTTTTCCAGATTTATAGACGACGGCCTCGTCAAACTCTTGAAGCCTTAGGCTCCAGCGCGCCAAACGACCAGATGGATCTTTAAGGTTTGTGAGCCAGCACAAAGAGTGATGGTCGCTAACAACCTTGAAGGAGCAGCCGTACAAATACAGACGAAATTTGATGACTGCCCACATCACGGCAAGACACTCCTTCTCGGTGGTCGAGTAGATCTCCGTGCGAGAGAGAGTTCTGCTGGCGTAGGCTATTATTCTTTCACAGCCGTCTTGCCACTGCACCAGAACGGCACCTAGATCTACATTGCTGACGTCAGTGTGAAGTACTGTTGGGGCGTCTTGGTTGAAGTGCGTAAGGACTGGAGGTGTTTGCAGGCGTTGTCGTAGTTCATTGAATGCCATTTGCTCCTGTTCACCCCAAAAGAAGGGGACGTCCTCACGTGTGAGTTGTGTCAATGGCGCCGCAATAGACGAAAAGTCCTCGATAAATTGTCGGTAATAGGCGCACAACCCTAAGAAGCGTCTCACAGCGTTTTTGTCATGTGGTGCAGGAAATTGCGCTACGGCATCTATTTTGGCCGGGTCAGGTCGAACACCCTCGTGACTAGGAAGCTGAGTTCCTTGAAACCAAAATGACATTTTTCTGGTTTTAAAGTAAGGCCGGCCGAGCATATGGCTTGGAGTACAGTGAATAGACGGCTGAGATGTTCCTCGAATGATGCTGAGAATACAACAACATCGTCCAGATAGACCAAGCGTGTTTGCCGATTCAGGCTCGATAGTATGGTGTTTATGAGACGCTGAAAAGTGTCTGGCGCCGAGCGCAACCCAAAAGGAAGCACCTTAAATTCGTAAAGGCCATCAGGTGTCACAAAGGCCGTTTTTTCACCATCTCTCTCGTCGACTTCTATCTGTCAGTAGCCGCTTCGGAGGTCCATTGAAGAGAAATAGCGCGCATGATGCAGCCGATCGAGTGAATTGTCTATGCGAGGCAGTGGATAGACGTCTTTTTTCGTG